ATTTAAAAAAGAGAAGCCCCGGTTCCCCCTCTCCCCACCGCAGGAATCCCTTCGGATCAGGTGCAGAGAAACAGCTCGTACCTTTCCCGCAAGAGAGGGTGCTGGCCCATTAGCTACTCAGCGAGTCAGAGCCGGCCCCTGCACCACTCGAGGGCCGAAGGGCCCTTCTGCACGCGCGGCGCGCCGGGGGCGGGGGCGGGGAGGCCGGAGCAGCCGCCGGCGCCCTGCGGACAGCTACCCCGCGGCGCGGCCGAGTCCGGGGCGGCCACCCCGGAGCCCCGGGCCCTCGCCCCAGCCCCCCCGGGCCCCGAGCGCGCTGGAGGGCAGGGGCCCTCCGCGGCACGTCCGTCCGCCCCGCGGGCAGAGCCCGCTCGGCTGCTGGTGGCAAGGGCTGCGTTCCCACGACGCGCGGCCGGGCAGGGAGCGGTCGGCCACCGTGCGGGTGCTGCCCCACTCCCCGCCTCCAGGGTCGCGGTCCCCGCGCTCCCTCCAGCCGCCGAGGCCAGAGCGGCCCGGGCTCCGCGCTCTGCGGGGAAGGCGAGCCCCGGGCACACGCCGGCGCTGCGACCCCGGAGGCCCGGGTGGCCCGACCTGCGTGTGGCCTCGCGGCGGGAGAGCGCGCTCAGGCCGGCCCCACGCGCCCGGTTCCCCGCGAGCCTCTCGCGCGGCCTTTCCGAGCCCGGAGTCCCCAGCTCGCCAGTGGCCGGCACACCCCACGGCGAAGCTGAGCTATTAAGGGGGGCCCAGGCGTGACCCTAAGGGCCAGGCGCCCGGCCCTGGCTCAGCCACTGACTCCTGGGCCCACCCCGCCGCCTCAGTTGGAGCCCGGATTAGCGGTCCCTGAAGGTCCTTTCCAGCTGTGCACCTTTACAAACCTGTAAGAACCATAGACCCGACCCACCTCTGAGAACATTTTCCTCCCTATGCGGAAGAAGTCCCGTTGGAATGCAATTTCCACCGAAGAGCAGAGGCGGAGGGGAGCGGGGAGGCTCCAGGCCCTGAACCAGGTCAGGTGGGGGTGAGCAGGGAAGGGCAAGGGCCCCAGGCCCGGCCTAAAGACTCCCTGCTTGTGGAGATCTGAATTACAAAAGGCTCTTAGATCCCTACTGAAAGGGTAAGCCTCACTGTAGGATCTTCATGGCAGTTCCCTTAACAGAGTTTAAAGAATTCAAAAACTCGGCCCCACCCCAGATTCACTCTGGCAGCATTTCCATGGGTTCTTAAAAGGAGGCGGCCCTGTTTGGGCCTCAGGGATCTCACCTTGAAGCCCCAGGCATCCCCACGAACTCCTGGGGGCCGGGTGGTGGGGGAGCGGAGGGGTAAAGAAGGTAGGAGAACAGGGTTTCACGTTTGTTGTTGAGTGATGAAGACTGCCTTTAATCTTTTGGGGGTCTTGAACTGACAGGAACTGAAAACCTATTTGAACAGTGTTTGCCAAACTTTTCCCTATTTCCTATTTACTTTCAATGTTTTCCTAACCTCTCCAGGCAGCCAGGCAGCTTAAGGGATTCTGGTTTGAGGTTCCCCTCTGTGGGCGGGCTTGGCCTGGTACTGGGCCTCAGAGGTGATTGATGTGGTTAAAGTACTTTCCAGTGAGGGCCAGGGCAGAGGCCCAGAGTGCTGTCCATCACCTTGACCAGTTGGAGCTACCCCCAAGCCATGGGGCCCTGGGCTTTGCTGCAGTGGAGGCAGGCTGCCTTGGGGCCCCTGAATTTAGGCCATGCCTAGGCAACCCTGACTTTCTGACATTTTTTTCACCTTCCAGACCGGACTTTAGCTCTCCCTGGGTGGCCTTTTACTGGTGACAAGCAGACCACATTCCGAGGCATCTGACCAGCATCGCCTCCCTCACAAGCAGATTGCGCAGCGGCTGGGGTGGAGAGGTGGGTCAAACTACCTTTGTTAGAGGACACTGAGGCTGGGAGAGGTGAGGTGACACAGCTGAGGGCACCCAAAGTCAGTGACAGAGCCCAAAGCCACAACCTCGCCGCTGCCTCCTAGCCCTACCGTCATGTCACCTCACCCCCTTTCTGAACATGAAACTGAGTTATGAGTTTCTACTGAAGTAGGAGCCTGCTAGGCCACAGCCTGTGTTCAGGCTCGCTGCCACAGACGGGCAGTACTGTGAGGAGCCTCCCAACCAAGGCATGTGAGGGACAGATGGAGAAACTGGGGAGATTGGACCTGAAGAGGACACGGAGAGTTGGGGTGATATGGGCATTTGTTGGGGTGGGGGAAGGAACAGGGAACCATGGCAACCATCTTCAGATCTCTGCCTCGCTCAGCCATGTCATAATCGTGTTCTGTGAGGTTCTGATAGCAGAGACCATAGGTTTCAGCTTCAGGACAAGCGCTTCAGCCTGATGGAAGGAGAGGCGTTCGCAGGAGCTGAGATGGAAAGCCTTCCTCTGAAGAATCCGCGCAAACCTTTCATCCTTCGAAGTATGTCTGCAGCGATAGGAGGTCAACGGGCGGGGCTGTGGCGGGGGTGGGGGTGGATGGGCTGGGGGTGTGGGGGTGGGCATGGATGGGCTGGGGGCATGGGGGTGAGGGTGGGCAAGGATGGGTCTTGAGGGAGGGCGTAGTCTGGACATCACTTACTATACAGTCTCTTCTAGATGGGGGATGATCTTCCTTCCCTGGTTTGGCCTTCAAGCTGCTATCTTTGGGAATGCCCTCGATGTGCCCGGGTGTGAGCGTGTATACATGTGCTCCTTGTGAATTGCCTGTGCTTGTAAATGTGAACCTCACCATTTACTCAGGGTCTCCCCAAGTAGTGCCTTCTGGGCTCTGAAGGTTGACAGTCTGGTCCTCCCCCTTGGTGCCTGCCAACTGCTAAGTGCAGCTTCCCAGTGTGGCCAGGACGCCAGGCAGTGGATGGACCAGAAGGAGACCCCTGTCCCACCCGAGACCGCAACTCACATCTTGGGCCTAGAAAGGCCTGACAACATTGAGAGGATAGGGTACTCTGGCAGAGGGGAGATACAGGTCAGATCACATGTGGAGATCCTGCTCCCCTCTGGGAAGGGCAGAGACAGGGGAGAAGGGAACAGCCTGGGCAGGTCAGACCCTAAGAACCTCATTGTGGAAGAAGCTGGAGCTGTTTGCCTGGAGAAGAGACCTGGCCTGCCATGAATTCCTGAAGGGTAAGGAACTGTACTGTGTGCAGAGTGGTGAACCCCAAGGCTCAGAGATTACCTGGGATGGAAGAGACCACCCAAAAGGGAGGTGGTAAGCTCCCTATAAGTGGAGGTATGCGAGCAGAAGGTAGGCAACCACTCAGCTAGCTCCAACAGGGCAGAGTATTGGACCAGGTGGCCTTAAGATGTTTGCATTCCCGAAAGTTTTAAAACTGGGGACATGGGGAAGTGACCCCATACTTGTCAGCTCTTGGCAAAAGCAGAACTACCTTGGCCTTCGGTCTCAGTTGGATCCCTGATGATGGAAGCCTAGCAATGCAAGCTGGAGGGGTTCAGGCCTTCCCAGGAGGCTCAGAGGAGTTGGCAAGAGCTGGGTGGGGTAGGGAGGAAGATGCCTTGTGAGGTGGGTTCTGTTGCACTCTTCAAACTTAGTTTGAAGTTTCTGGAAACTTCTGGAAGTTTTCTGGAAACAGCATTTGTAAAACTCATCTGGTGGGTCTCTTTTCTAAATATGGGAATTATAAGTAGCTGGATATCTTGGTCCTTAAAGTGCTTTAGAAAGGGAACTTCGTATAGAAAAAGTCATGATGCTTTTTCCATTATTTTCTCCAAATTTCAGTCTCTAAAATGTGCCCCCTTTTGTCATCCTTCCTTTTTCTTCCATTCTTTCCAGGAAGCTTGTGGTACCTTAAAGAGGGAAGGGCCCTCATATTTCCCAACAAGGCTGATACTAGCATTTGGAGTGGGAAATTACTTCCTTGTGTGTGACTGCCGTATGCAATGCAGAACATTTCGCATCCCTGGCCATCCCCTTTCCTTATAAAATTCCAGCAAGGACTCCCAGACATGGGGCACTTCCAAACATCCCTTAGAGGAGACACTACCTCCCTCGACGTTTTGAAAACCACTGCCTTGAACCCCTGCCCCCTAGAAGTGACTTGCTCAAGGCCATATCACCAGCCAGTGGCAAAGCCAAGGCCAAGTCAAAGCCCATTCATTAATAGCAAGAACTTTTACTCTTCACCAGGGTGTGTGTCAGGAGAACAGAGTGCATGCGGACCTGAACTGAGGCAGTTAAGAGGGGGACTTCCTGCCCACAAAACTATAATGTCTCACAATTTTTCTGCTTTTTGCCAAACTCCGTTTTCCTTCTGTAACCCGCCTACCTTGCCCTTTCAGCAGATGCAAGCGCAAATTGAATTTCTGGCAATTAGTGCACAGAGTCTAGCGGAGCGCGATTCGCAGGAGCAGAGTCAGGTCTCCTTCGGGCGGGGCAACAGGGCCCTAGCGCCTAAACCCCGAGGTCTCGGCGAGCGAACCGCGGTCTTTCACCCGCAATGAGGAGCTAGCGAGCTGCGGCCGGGCCCCTGCCGCGGGGCTGCGCCGGAACTGGGTAGAGGTGGAGGACCGTGGACCCTCGGTGGTCGGTCCCTGGAGGTTTTTCCGGTTTGATGGGGTGTCTGGAGACCAGGGAGCAAGGGCCGTGGCCGGCGTCAGGGGCACCCAGGCCGTGGCGCGGCGGCAGCAGAGAGGTCAGTGCAGCTGGGCTCGATCTCATCTTCCACGCCAGAGGCCGCGGCCGCCGGGAATGGCGGGGCCACCTCTCCAAAGTCCTTTAAGATCCTAGCTCGGTTCGGGGAGGGGGTGGGGGTGTGTGGGAAAGCGAGAATATTATTATCCCTCTGTTTTGCCTCGGCAGCCAGCACCGGCGGGTTGTTCTGTTTGAATGAATGATCCCAGCGGTCGCGCCCAATAGGCGCCCGCGCCTGTTTAATATGCATGAGGCCCGCGGCCAATGGCCGGGCGAGGAGGCTGTTTTAAACGGCGGAGCCCGCTGGCCAATCAGGCGGCTCTCGTGGAGGCAGCTAGCGCGAGGTTGGGGAGCGCTGAGCCGCGCGTCGTGCCCTGCGCTGCCCAGACTAGCGAACAATACAGGTACGTTTCGCACCGCCCGCTCCCGCCGCCGCCGTCGCCGCCACCGCCGCCGCCGCCGCCGCCGCCGCCGCAGCTCCCGCATAACTTTCCGGCCCGCGCCGCCGAGAGCGCGCCCCGCTGCCGCCTCCCCCTGCCTGTCGTCCCTGCGCCCTTCCCGCCCCTTCTCCTTTCCTCTTGCTAGGTGGCCGGGAAGGAAGAAGCAATTCAGGTGTTGCAACTTTTCAATGCTTCATCCTCAGCTCCCCGCAGTCGGGGCTGAGCCCCCTTCGGGGAGCCGCCCTCGGCCGCCGCCCTGCCCCCGCCCCCCTAGGGCAGCCGCCGAGGGGCCGAGGCCCCCAGAGGCCAGATGTTGGGGTAGCTGCGGCGGCGGCGGCGGTGGCGGCGGCGGCGCGAGCCCAGGGGCGGCTGCGGGCTGCGGGCTCCGGCGGCGCGCGTCCCGGCGTGGGGCGGCGGCGGCACTGGGAAGGGGGCCGGGTGCTTCCCGGCCCGGGACGGACTCTGCGAGGGGCGGGCGGCCGGTGCCCGCTGGGGGCTGCGGCGCGGGCAAACTTCGCTCCCGGGCTCGACCCGGCGCCGCGCGGGCCCGCGGGCTGCACTGCTGCTTCTGCATTAACATGGCCGTCGCGGGAGCGCCCGGCGGCCCGCGGGGGGGGGAGGGGGTTGCGCGGGCCGGCCGCCCCCCGCTCGTCTCCTGCCCACCGGCCGCCGCCGCCGCCGCCGCGACCGCTGCTACCATAGCTCGTGCGGTGCCGGGCTCCCGGCGAGGGCAGGACCGGCGGGCGGGGCGCCCGGGCGGGCTCCGGCCTCGGCCCCGGCGCCCGCGGCCCGGGACTGGCGGCGTGGAGGGCCGGGGGCGCCGCCGCGGGCCCCGGCGCGGCCGAGCGTCATGGCTGCACGGGCGCCTTTGTTATCCCGAGGAGTGCGCCCCGCGCCGGCGGGCGGGGGGGGGTCCGGCCCGCGGCCCCCGCCGCCCCGCGCCCCCGGGCGGCCCGGGCGGGGCGGGGCGGGGCGGGGTGGGGGCCAGCGCGGGCGGCGGCGGCGGCGGTGGCGGGGCCCGGACCGCTTTGTTCGCCGCCGCCGCCCGCGCCGGCGGCGCGCGGATCAGCCATTTTAGCGAGCGGGGCTCGGAGGCTCGGCGGGCGCCACCGTCGCCGCTGCCGCTGCCGGCCGGGCTCCGCTCCCTCGGCGCGCCACTGCCACCGCCGCCCCCGGCCCCGCGCGCCCCCCGAGGGTGGCAGCGGGGGATTTCAGGGGCAGTTTCTTTCATCAGGAAGCTTTTGACAAAATGGAAGGTGAATTATGGGTGTCTGGGTGACCCAGCACGGGGCCCGGCCCGGCTGCCCGCTGCCAGCCCCGGGCTCCCCTGCGCCCCGTCCCGCCCCACCCGCGCAGCTACTGCGGGGCCCTAACGCAGCCCCTCAGTCGGCCCCTGCGAAGGGGAGCGCTTTAGTTTTACATGATGACCTTGGGTGTGGGAAAAGGAAAAGATGGCGGGAAGCTGGGGGGGTGGGACAGGGACGATGACACGCCACAGCTGCATTTTTATTTGGAAACTTTGGAGAAAGTATTCCTGGCTGGACATGCGTTCCGCTTTACAGATGAGCAAGACTAGCCTTTTTGGCATCCCCTCCCCCTTCAGATAATGACAAAGTGACAGATTCGAACTCATAGTACAGGGATAGCTGCTCACTTGCCAGATCACCTTTCTCGCAAAAGCCATTTTTAGAAGCCGGGATGCATCAACAATAGTGAAATTTGAAATGTTGCCTATTTGCAGTTCTCCTGCTTTGATCTTGTATTTAGCAGCAGTGACAGGATTTTTGAGTCTGTAACGGAGCAGTTAAACAGTTGACAGCTAGCCTTAAGTCATGGGTCTCAAGCTTCTGTCATCCGCCTGCACCCCTACAAATGTGTCCTCCCTGCGCCCTTTCCACTCTGTGGTTGTACTTTCCAAAACGTAGTAGCTCTGAATCGGAATGTAGCGCTGAGCCACCCCAGTTGGGTCGGTTCCATTTGGAGAACTTGATCGCTCTCACTCTCCGAGAAGTAACTAGCAAACCAGCGCGCTTCATGCTGGTCAAAAGTTAAATGACAAGCAACAGTGAAGCTGATTTCCTCCCTACTCTGTCTTCGACTGCCAGTGGCATCAGGCATGGCGTTGGGGGGGGGGGGGTGCTGCTTCCGAACGGTGACCTTAATTTGGATGTTGTCCTGCCTTTGGTGTATCTTGAAGGTCTGTTCTAGTCATTGTATTTGTTTTTCTTTGTCTCTCTCCCTTCATCCATCACAGTCAGGATGGCTAAAGGTGATCCCAAGAAACCAAAGGGCAAGATGTCTGCTTATGCCTTCTTTGTGCAGACATGCAGAGAGGAACACAAGAAGAAAAACCCAGAAGTCCCTGTCAATTTTGCAGAATTTTCCAAGAAGTGCTCTGAGAGGTGGAAGGTACTTTTCTTTCGTGTCCTTCAAGCCAGCCTTGCTTGGAGTTCACACATGGGGCTCCTCACCTTCTGAGTAGCCCCAGGTGGCTCTTCTCTCGCTCCTGGGGTCCTCTTGCCTGCCTTTAGAATTGTGTGTGTGCTTTTATTTTTTTTTTCCTTTTTAAAGCTGGACAAGGGTTTAAGTCCTGCTCACTGCACTGAGGAACCTAACAGGTCCTGTTCTTTGCAGACTATGTCTGGGAAGGAGAAATCTAAATTCGATGAAATGGCAAAGGCAGACAAAGTGCGCTACGACCGGGAAATGAAGGATTATGGACCAGCTAAGGGAGGCAAGAAGAAGAAGGACCCTAATGCTCCCAAAAGGCCACCGTAAGTGACTGTAGGGTTCAGGGTAACAGTTAAGAGCTTTCCTTCTACTCGAAGGGTTTTTAAGAGTACATGTTGCCTAAAGGTGTTAAGATAACCCTGCCACGCCTTCTGTACTTGGAGCTTTAAGGTGCTGTGCCAGGGAAGTGCGATGTTAAGGCTGAGGTAACTGGTGAGCCGTGTGCTTGCAGCAATTGCTTGCGGCCTTTCCCTTGGGAGGGACACACCAGAGTTCTGGCTGTCAGGGTCCTTAGGTATGTTTTCTCCTGCTTCTCCAGTAACTGAGAGACTGAGAAAATACAATGTATTTCTGGAGCATCTTAAACTTTCTAGAACCTACAACTTTGTAACATTGTGTACAGTATCATACATTTCTCCACTTACAGAGCGGTCCTAGTGGTAGGAAGTAAGTAGGTGAGGAACAGGGGATTTTGGCTTAAGCTCATAGTTTAGGCTCGCCTCTAATTTATACAGTTCTCTCCCCGAAGGTCTGGATTCTTCCTGTTCTGTTCAGAATTCCGCCCCAAGATCAAATCTACAAACCCTGGTATCTCTATTGGCGATGTGGCAAAGAAGCTGGGCGAGATGTGGAATAACTTAAGTGACGGTGAGAAGCAACCTTACAACAATAAGGCAGCGAAGCTGAAGGAGAAGTACGAGAAGGTGAGACGGGCCCAGGTGTGCCCAGGCTACCCCAGGCTACACCCTGGGTATGGGCTGGGGGTGTGCTGCTTTGCTGAGTTGAGGAGTGAGCCTAGCGTGCCAGGGCCCATCTTCCAGCAAGGTCGGCCGCAACTGCTGCTGTTCAGGCTTCTCTGTAGAATTTTGTCTTTGGGACAATCGCAGGCAGGCTTAAAAAGTTTGCTAACGTGTGAGATGCCCTGGGCAGAGCGTTTGATAGTCCCGTTAAACACCCCTTAACCTTGAAATTCCAGCGGCCAAGAACCAGATTTGTGTGTATCTGGAAACAAATACTTCAAATAGCAGCCCCGTCTTACTCAGTTGTTTTCAGTTCTGAGGTGGGGACAGCATGTTTCTAGCCTTTGCTAAAACAGCTGCAGGAGAGCTTGTCTGTTCATTCGGAATGTGTCCCCATTCCTTCCAGGATGTCGCCGACTATAAGTCTAAAGGAAAGTTTGATGGCGCGAAGGGTCCCGCCAAAGTTGCCCGGAAAAAGGTGGAAGAGGAAGATGAAGAAGACGAGGAGGAGGAAGAGGAGGAGGAGGAGGAGGAGGAGGATGAATAAAAGAAACTGTTGATCTGTCTCCTTGTGAATACCTTAGAGTAGGGAGCGCCGTCATTGACATTGACGCCCCTCTTATTGGAGGCGTGTCTGTTGCCCTCGTTAGGTTTAATCACACGATTGGGTCATGGTCATATTGTAGTTTCTCAAAGTGCTCTAGAAATTGTCAGTGGTTTACATGAAGTGGCCATGGGTGTCCAGAGCACCCTGAAACTGTATCAAAGTTGTACATATTTCCAAACATTTTTAAAATGAAAAGGCTCTCGTGTTCTCCTCACTCTGTGCACTTTGCTGTTAGTGTGACAAGGCATTTAAAGATGTTCCTGGCATTTTCTTTTTTTGATTTGTAAGGTGGTGTTAACTATATGGTTATTGGCTAGAAATCCTGAGTTATCAACTGTACATATCTATAGTTTGTAAAAAAGAACAAAACAACCGAGACAAACTCTTGATGCTCCTTGCTTGGCGTTGAGGCTGTGGGGAAGATGCCTTTTGGAGGGGCTGTAGCTCAGGGCGTGCACTGTGAGGCTGGACCTGTGGACACTGCAGTGGGCATCCATTTAGCTTCAGGTTGTCTTGTTTCTGTATATAGTGACCTAGCATTCTGCTGCCATTCGTAGCTGTGGAGAAGGGGGGGTCAGCTGGCATGAGAAGTGTTTGGATCCTTTTTAGTTAAGTGCGGTAGTTTTAAACTGTTTGTTTTTAAACAAACTGTGGAACTCTTCATTGTCAGCAAAGCGAAAGAGCCACTGCATCAATGAAAGTTCAAGAACCTTCTGTACTAAACACGATTTGCAACGTTCTGTTATTTTTTTGTATGTTTAGAATGCTGAAATGTTTTTGAAGTTAAATAAACAGTATTACATTTTTAAAACTGTTCTCTATTATAACAGTCTAAATTTCTGAGTCACAGCAGTCTTAGCTAACAAACAACCCACTCCATTGTATTTGGCGAGTAGCCTCCCTGCACATCTGCTATCTTCTATTAATGTGGCCAGCTTGCTTAGGATACAGCGGAAGAGGCAACTCGAAGGTGCTGCGTGATTTTTGTTTGTGTCTGGGTGGCATTAGGATGGAGTCAACTGCTGAATGGACAAGCCAGGATAACTTGACCCAGGCAAGGAGGTGCAGAGAGGGGGCGGTTAGGATTGAGGCTGACTACTATGTAGGTTTATTTTTTTTTATTTTTACTTTTTGCCTCCTGCAACCACCCGCCCTCCCCACCAATGCCAAGGGGCCAGATTCACTGCTAAACAGCAAAAATGTCTTAAGGGTATGGTATATCAAAACTTCAGGCTTGCATTTTCCCTTTTCGTCGCCTCTGCCCCAGGTACATGTAGCAGAGGTGTCACTGCTTCTGCTCAGCGATGGAGGAGGTGTCTTGAGCTGCTGCTTCTGTCTTCTGAACCCCAGTGAGGGAAAGGGTGGTGGGGTCGAGAACAGTTACCGTTTGCTTTCCTACTGCTTCAAGAAACCAGACACCCCAAGGACCACGACCGGGGTTCCTGTTGTGGCTGCATTTTGGGCCACCTGTACAGCAGGCAGTCTGATGGGGATCGGTTGTCTCTAAGCATTACATGCGTCCTCTGAAAAGTAGTATGGCCTGCCTGCAATTTGAGCTCATCAATTGCAAACATAGGTTGGTGGTTCAATGTTGAACTGGAAGAAGTTTGGTTTGTGTTTCAGTGGTTATTTCATGTTGGTGGATGATGTCCCATTTTGTCCCAATTGGGGAAGGGGGTGATGTGATGGCCACAGCAGCACATGGTGGCATTAAAAATCCTTGCGAGGGGTGATCATCTTATCTGTCGGCAGTAAGGAAGAGCACCGTGTTGTGGGCTGGCGTCCCCACTGCCCGGCATTATACTCTGCCATGTGTGTTTGAGGCTGTGAAGCCCTCAGACATGTTTTAGTTTCCTCACTCAGGAGAATGCAGTTTTTTTTTTGCTTAAAATTCACTATTTGCAAAATTGCATGTCTGCAAGCTTGTGTCCTCCCCACCCTGTCAGGTCCTAGATGGGTATGTCACGGTCATGGTCACTGGCCCAGTCTCTAATCGGTATTCATAGTCATTCCTTTTCACATCAGAACTGTTTGTCCTGTGTTTTTCAAGCTCTTCTACAAAACGACCACTAATTTGAAAACCTTGGTCCTGAGGTTTGCCCAGAGGCACTTGTTCCAGGATTGCCCCTCTGCTTCAGCCATACCCTTGTCACTTTCCTCCAGTTGCTGCCCAGCACGCGATGTGGTAGGCTAAGACTAGGGAACTGGTCAGCCTCATTGAATCCGGAAGAGAAGCTCAACTTGTAGTCCCAAAGGAGAGCGAACTTGCTGAGTGGTGTCTATCTGGTTGTAACACTTCCGTGCCTGCTTTTTTGTGCTAAACCAGTGGGGGAGCCGCTTACGTGATCTTTGACTATGGGGACAGAGTTCTAAAGAAATTCCAGTTAAGGCTGCTTGGCCCCACATTTTCACCCCAGCACAAGACTGCTCCTTTTAATGGAATGATGCTCTGTAGCTTCTCTGGGACGTTACAAGTGGCATGGCGTCACCACCTAAGTCTTCGGCTCAACTTGATTATTGGGCCCGGAATATGTGATCTCGTAATGCCAACCTGTTCCTTTTTTAAAATCAAAAGGACAGTACCTGCTTTCTCTAACCACCTCTCTCCCAACCCTCTCACCCCATTTTTGAATGGTGTTTTATCCTTTGGAAAGAACAAGGCTGTGATGTAGCAATTGTCTGTGTCTCCTGTGTTTCTGTTCTTGTCACAAATGTACTTGGGGCATTGGATGCATTCATTTTCTGTAATAAAGTTTCTTAATCAGTCTTCCCAAAAAGTAATCAGTGGGCTGTCTGTGTTTTGGGTTGATTATAATCAAGGTTCTGGAAGTACAAGCTTTGCTGTAGCCACAGGTCTGAACTGTTTAGTGGAGGGATCCTGTCAAAGGGGGCAAGTGTGAAGGATTCCAAAGCCCCCAGATGAACCCTTCAGCCAGAGGAGTAGTGGGGGAGTCGGCCCCGGAGCCCTATGCCAGGATGCTCACGAGCTGCTTGGCTGAGTGGCGGGGTGCTTGTAATCCGCCAGGCCTGCCAGCCAGGGCCTCCTGAGGCTGGGGGTCAGGGCCTCACTGGCTGACAGAGCCGGGCCCCACAAGGCACTTTAGATGAGAGCTGTGGGGGCCACTTGCTCTTCTTCGGACCCTGGCTTAGTTTCCCGTGGACCCAGGGCTCCTTGGGACGGAATGGCTGGCCCCAGGCTTCTCTTCTTGTTTCAACCAGAGCATCCCCTCACTCTGTTTTTTATCTTGAGCCTCCTCCTGAGATTTTAGCTTAAAAAAGAAATGGGGAGGGGCGCCTGGGTGGCTCAGTGGGTTAAGCCTCTGCCTTGGGCTCAGGTCGTGATCTCAAGGTCTGGGGATCGAGCCCCACTCCCCTCTTTGCCTGCCCCTCTGCCTACTTGTGATCTCTCTCTGTCAAATAAATAAATAAAATCTTAAAAAAAAAGAAACTGGGATACAATATCAATAAACTAAAAAAAAAAGCCCCTACACCAATAGTTACATAAAAAGTATTTGATAAAATCCAACACCCTTTCATGCTTTAAACACACACACACACACACACACACACACACACACACACACACACAACAAACCAAAATACTCAGACAACTGGGAATAGACGGAAACTTGCTCAGCCTGATAAAGAGCACTTAGGAAAACCCACAGCTAATACACTCAGTGGAAGACTGAAAGCTTCCCCCCACCAAGTTCAGGAACAAGACAAGGGATACCCAGTTGTGCCACTGGTATTTATCGTTGTACTAAAAGTTCTAGCTGGGTCAATTGGGCAAGAAAAAAAACAAACACATCCAGACTGAATATGAAGGACTAAAGCTATGTCTTCACAGATGACATGATCTTCTTCTGTTGGTTAATCCTAAGGGATTTCCATATAAAAGAGAAGAAATAGTGAGTAAAATGGCAGGATACAAGGTCAGTATACAAAAATGTGTTGTATTTCTATACATTAGCAATGAACAATTTGAAAACAAAATTCAACAATTCCATTTACAATAGCATCAAAATAAAATAGTAATAATAAGTTTAACAAAAGAAGGACAAAATCTGTATGGAGAAAAATATGACAAATTGTTGAAAGACATTAAAAACCTAAATAAATTGGAAAGCATCCTGTGTTCATGAGTTGGAAGACAAGATTGATCACATAGCAATACTCCCAGAGCTGGTCTATAAATTCATCGTAATTGCAATCAGAATCTCAGCTAGCTTCTTTGTAGAAATTGACAAAATGATTATAAATTTCGTACAGAGACTCAAGGAACCCAGAATAGCCAGAACAATCTCGGGAAAGAAGAACAAAGGTGGAGGATTCAGAATTCTTGATTTCAAAACTTACTACAAAGCTATAGTCATCAACACATTGTGGTATTGGCATAAGCTCATTATCTCTGCCCGGATCTGTTTTTCACCACAACCTGCCATCTGGAACTCTACCCAAGGTGTCTTTACTCACTCTCCATAGTCAGTTCCCAAATCCGGCCAAGTGTACTTCCTAAAATATCCTGGATCTACCCCTCCCCTCATTCATGCTGTCCATTGCAAGTAAATATCTGTCTTCAAATTCTCCTATTAACCTCTTTGTGCTAGGCTAGAACTTGGGTTTTCAGGGTTTTGCTCATCAATATCCCTCCAAGAAAATCTCCAATTCAGACACCATGGTTAGATTTATCTGCTGAGTGTCATCAGAGCTGGAGTTAGAGCCTAGGGACATGCTGTAGCTCAGGTCCTCACTATCTTTTTTTTTTTTCTGGGAAAATATGATAGCTTCCCAAATGATTGTCTTTTTTTCTCTCTTGCCTCTACTCCATCCCCAGACCTAGTATAGCTATAGACACATCGTTGGTGCTCAATATGCATTCACTGAATAAATAAATGGATGAATGAATGAATGAATGAATGAATAGGGACAGATCAGGGGAAAGTTCAACTTGGGTAGAACTTGTAGGCCATCTTTAGAATTCTGAACTTTCCTAAGGTCAAGGCAGGCACTTAAGAATTTTCATCTCTTCGTGTTTCCGGAGTAGTAGATGGTGATATGCTCAGATGTGTTTTGTAGTAAAATTACACTGGCATCTGTGAGAAGAATAGAAGACACCGGAAGGGGCAAGAGTGGAACTAGTGTTAGGGTAAGTCAGCTGCTACAAAGAGCAACCCTCATTTCTCTCTCTCTCTCTCTTTTTTTTTTAGAGGGGGGGAGTATGAGAGTGAGGGAGAGTGGGGAGGGGAGGGGAGGGGCAGAGAGCAACCCTCGATTAACACAATTCTTAATATTATGACTTAACACAATGAAAGGTTTACATCTCACTGGCATTACAGTTCCAATCAGATACTTGGCTGACAGCCTTCCAAACGATGACTCAGGGATCCCGGCTCCTTCCATTCATGGTGCCACCATTTTCAAGCCATGACCTTTATGTCACTGAAGAATAGGCTTTACGATAAGGCCTGGAAGTGGCATTCCATCCTTGTCACCCACATTCCATGGTTTCCAACTGAACTGCAAGGGCAGCTGGGAGATGTAGTCATTCTGTGTGCCCAGGGAGAAAATGAAATGGATTTATGGACACACAGCATGGCTCTGCCATCGGGGAAGATGGGATAGGGGGTGGTTGTGGGAGTCTATCTAGGTGTGATGTGGAAGGCTTGTCCAAAAGTGGTGGTAATGGGGGTAGATAAAAGAGTTGGATTCAGGAGAGATTTAGGATTGCTGGGACTTGCTAGAGGATTGGATATGGGGGGCATGAGGAAAAGGAGGCACTGAGAATGAGTCTATTATTCTCTCACTTGGGACATTGGAAGGGTAGCAGAGTTTTTCAGTAAGACAGAGCCCCTGAAGAGAAGCAGGTTTGAGAGGGAATCACCTCAAGGCTTAGCAGTGTTCAGAAGGGATAACAGGTCTGATCTCACATTTCCCTGCAAGGGAAAGTTTGTAACTTGGAATCACAGACCATTCATGCTGTCAGCCTGTCTTTCCATTTTGGGACTAGTCTGGAATTTGCATTTCTCAGGCTTTTTTTTTTTTTTTTTTTTTTTTATCAGTTTCCCTCCAGGGAATTCTCCAGCAGACACCCTGGTGGGATCTGTCTGCTATAGTATGATCTTACCAGAGTGTCAGAGCTAGAAATTTCCCTGGAGGGAAACTAAATCCCTTGGGCTAGAAGGGGGCTTCCCCCTTTCCACACTCACACTTTGAAATCTGTTTCTAAACTGGGAGCATTTGAGGAAAAGCTCAAAGAACCTTCCTGTTGTTGGCTTCAGGCCACAGTTGGTTTTTTTCAATCCACAGAGGAAATGTGAGATGCACATTTTCCTGGGCTGTGTATTTTGTTCCAGGCCTGTGGTAGGTTTTTGTTTTAAAAGTCTTTTGGAAGCATGTCAGCGGTGATACTGTGGCAATGTTGATTGCAACATTTGACAGTTCTCATTGCAAGATGTGTAGAACATATGATGCTTTTGTCCTCTGTCCAAACCCTCAGTGGTTTACATGAAAAAGGGCTGATATTTTAGCAATGAAACATTAGCAGAAGGCTGAAATATGTCACTTAAAAATATTGGGCTAGCCATGATGTTTTTAATCCTCTTGTGCTGGAACCGCTTTTAACTTCTATATCAAGAAACCCTCTTCTGCGTATATTTAATTTATGAAATAAAAGTAGCTGATCGAGTAGCATAACCCCCCAGGTTTCTACCTAGATTTAGATATTGGAGATCATCATAAGGCTAAGAGGCCACATGGGATTGCAGTGGGAACAGCAGATATCTAGCCCAGTGCCTGGAATACAGGCAGAGCACAAATAGGAATTCCCCTCTGGGGTGCTGCTCAGCCCCCTCCCCGCTCCAGGAACAAGAAGTTCTGGGTTCTAGAGAGGCTAAGTGACTTCTCTTAGGTTACACAGGAAGTCGGCGGTGGACTCAAATGGATGTCTGCTGACTCCAAGCATCTGTGTGATTACCCACCCTGCACGCGGAGAATGCGCCCCAAGTACCAAGAATCCCAGGAGAAGCGGAGGATCTGGAAATCTCGGCCAAGTTAAAGCTGCTGCAGGGTTCAGTAAAGGAGCAATTGAAATCCAGTAAGTGTGTTGGTACAAGTCTGCAGGGGGCTCCTAGGGAGTAAGGAGGAGGAGCAATGTTTGCAGTGCCCAATTAGGGAAGTCTTCCTGGAGGAGGGGATGCTTGAGCTCTTTGAAAAGTAGACCTAGCTAAAGGAGGAGGGATGGGAAGAGGGAATAGCGTGTGCACTCGCGCACGTGTACACACACACACACACACACACACACACACACACGCCCAGAAAAAAGCAGCGCATAGTGTGGACTGGGAAATTGCAAGCAGTTTGTTTGAATGAGAGGTACATTAGTTATGCATTGCTCCACAACAAGTCACCCCAAACTTTAGTGGCTTAAAATATAACAGCATTTATTATCTCACGGTTCTTTGTGTCAGGAATCCAGACCACTTAGCTAGATCATCTAGTGCAAGGTCTTGGCTACAGTAGCAGTCACCTCGAGTCTGGTCTGGAGGAGGAGGGCTTCCGAGATCACTCACATGATTCTAAGTAGTGGTTAGTTTCTTGCCTGTTGGATGCACGCTGCCATCAGTTCGTTGTCACATGGGCTTCTCCATCGGGCAGCTTACAACGTGGAAACTTCATTCATTCAGGCTGAGCAAGCGGGAAGAGCCAAGGAGAGAGTGTGTGTGAGCAACAGGGAGGGTCACAGTTTCTTTGGAACGAAATCTCAGA